AAAAAAAAAACACATCATAGTAAAACCAATACCTTCTCAGCTTCGCATAGAAGCTAAAAACTATTTTTTGTATTTTTTTTAATAGTTTTTAGAATGACACTAAACAACTCTTTTGGTATAATTCTTTTAAAGTACTAATCAAATTTATTTTAAATTAGGAAAATTATATGACTTTAGTACTTTTATTGTCAACGATACTGGCTGCTTCAGCATTGTTTCCACATCTAGAGCAATGAAAGCTTGTATGATTGCGAAATTTTGCTTTGACACAAATATTACAATATCTATGACCACAGATGTCTAAAATTGTATTTTCCTCATTTATTTGGCAATTCCTACATCCTAAATAAAATTATTGATAATGGAGTAAAATTTAAAGTTTGTATTTTTCAATCAAAAATTTACTCACTGAACATGTCTATTTTACTATTCGATCCTGTTAAATAAACAGCAATGCATTAACTTGATAATGTTACATCTATTTTTCATTAAAATAAATCATTTTGTTTTTTAGAAACTTCTATTAATATATATATATATATATTATATATTAATATATATATATATATATATTATATATGATAGATACATTATATATATATATATATATTATATATGATAGATACATTATATATAATATTGTAATTATAATTACAAAATATAAAATATACATTAATAATTATTAATGTATGTTTTTTTTATAAATCTGACCCTTTACCTGCCCACAATGGTATTGAAAATGACAACTTGTTCATAAAAAATTAACTTTTAAAAATGTTTCGAAATTTCTAACACTTTTATATATATCTTAAATTAAAGCTAATATACTTTATAATGGAAAAAAAAATTTCGGACTTTATTTTGTCTTCACGCTAAAAAATAATTACTCTATAAGTGTTTGGATCAATACAATTTTTTATGAGAAATAATATTTATATCCCTCTTTCATTTGACATGTTTTTTTTTAAATAAATCATTTAAATGTATATATACAGGGTGATTTTTTTATCATTACCAACTCAATTTCTTACAGAGTAATAATAATTTAGACATTCTTTTTTTTGTTATCTTTAGTTACACATAATTATTGAATTATTACCTATTTAATACTTTTTAAGTTCATCCCTTATGCCTGGTAAGGGTGTCAACTTTGTTTTTTTTTAAATGGGAACACATATTTTGAATTTAATAAAATGTTTGGATTTTTAATTCAATAGTAAATGGCATTAAATTTTTAGTATAACTTTATTTGTTTATTAGATATAAACACTTAAAGTTTCAAATTTTTGAGTTAATATACATGTATAATACACAAGGGTTTACAAATACAGGTAGCTAATTGGATTTTTATGACATTGCTGTGACAGTCACGAATTGTTTACTATCAATTATGATTATCAATTGATATACTTTCTGATATTATTAGTTAGTGTATTTATTAACTCACAACAATGTGCCTTACTACCATTGATAATAACAATGCTGTGTACGTGCTAATATCGATGTCATAAAAAACTGCACATAATTTTTTGAAAAATGGATGAATAGAAACATAATTTTTGAAAAGATACTAAGGTCATTTCTTATCATTCGGTATATATTTTTTTTAATTTTACGGACCCACAGGGAGGGTTTCAAAATGACAACTATTCCACGAAAAATTAACTTTTAAAAATGTTTCAAAAATACTGTATTTATATTTATATCCTGATTACAAGTTTTATGGTGTATAAGTTTAATATATGAATAAATAATTATTATAGCAATTAAACATAGTATGAAATTGATATTCAATAATTTTTTATTATAATTATTCCTGAGAAGGGTCAGTAACTCAAAAAAATTTATTGCATGACAATGCGGTTTTGGAATACTTAAATAAAAAGAGTAAAACATAATTTACTCTTCTTATAATGACTTTCAACATAATTTTGAGGATTTGGTATGAATTGGAAATAAACTATTTAGAAAATTGATAAACATATAGGGTGTAATCAGTAAATTTTATTTTTGATCTCCTGAAAAGTAAAAAAAGTTAGTTACTGCCTTATAAGTTGTGCATATTGATTTACTTATTTGGTTTCTAATAATTCATGTTATATGATAGGAGATTCTTTTATTGTTAGTAATACGATATCTTTAAAATAATGATTATGTTAAGAAAAACATTTTTGGTATTTTTAGTCTCATATATTTCTCGATTTATCAATAATAATAACTTTTTTAATTCATTACTTATACCTTATATCAGTGTCATATTTATTATTTAACGGCAACATAGATATTTTTCAATAAACTATATAAAACTGTTCTTAAAAACCAGGATACATCACAAAAACCTAATCTCATCATAATATCCCACCCTACCTTACCATATCTTATTTTAAACATTTTAAACATTTTACAATTTTTTATTTTAAGTAGTTAATAGTGTCCTACATTTTTTTTTTTTTTTAAATTATAAATCGTAGTATATGGAATTTGATCCTATCTCTTTAAAAATGTAGTATATTAAATTTTTTTTAAAGGAAACATAATCATTTTCTTAAAAATAAGAAAATGATACTACTAAGAAATTAACCAAACTTTTGAATTAATAGTTAGTTCTCTTGAAGTTTTCGTCTTCTGTTTTGGCTACTTGGTTAACTTCGCCATGCGAGTGCTTGGAATTAAATGCCAGTTTTAAAAACTCTGACAAATTGATCTCCATGCAATTGATAAGTAGTTGTTATCAGTTGTTTCTAATGACTCTATCAATTTTGCTGCTTCATCCTTGATAGCCGATATTGATGATAAAACTAATCTAATTAGTCAATATTTTGATTGTCGAGAACCATCGAGTAAAATGTGTCCCTAAAAGTTAATCAATCAGTATAGCGTCTACTGAAAGTAGTCAGTGGTATAACCTACAGTTTTATCTGTCTATAGCTTGTAGTTTTTTAATTAGAACTCCGGCACTCCTTCGTCGAAGTAGTTTCATAGCTATTGGCAATTTGTCAAGAAATAAGTGATAATAATTCAAAAATCTGATCATTGACAATACGTCTTATAATAAACTTATATAGCAAACTAATCAATCTTGTTCTGAATTAATTTGAAATTGGCTTGAATTTCTCACAGTTTTTCATACTGATAATTAAACTGAGCGTGATCCATTTCTGACTGGTCATTGAATTCATGCACATATAAATATATTGATTCGAATTGACGCATAACTCGTTGTCATCACTCGACGGCCTTCTTCTATGTCATAGTTTTCTTATACAGCCCGAAGATAACAAATGTTAATTTGTAGATGGAATGTAATTATAAAAATACCATAAACAGGTGAGCAAAATACATTACATTTTGTTATAGCCTAGTTACATGAGTAGCTTACGTTGTTAACACTAGTGGTAGTTTATGTATTGTGCAAGTAGTATAAATTAGAAAAATAATTAATAACTGATAAATCTAAAAATATATGAAACTCAAAAATAGACAAGAGACTAGAGAAAAAAACTTAAATAGTTTGGTCATGTTATGGAGAGAGAGGAATCAGAAGCTGTAAGAACAGTATAGAAATTAATGTTGAAAGAAGAGGTAAAGGAAGACCAAAAAAGAGATAGAGAGATATTATTGAATGCGATTGAGGACAACAGATATGAGCTTAAATGATAAGGGAGATTGTATCAAGTGGCAGTTTAGGATAAGGGTAGTCGACCCCAAATAGTTGAGATTAAGATGAGGAAGAAAAGAAATATATGGAACTAAAAAATACCAAAAAAATTTCTTAACACAACTATATTATAACACAAATCGAGTGGCATTTAACCTTGTTTATATTTACATAATGCATGATATAAAAATACACTTGCACACATTTACACAAATATTTATGTCTATAGCTATACATTTTATTTTGTTCATTAAAAATTATGCTTGTTATTACACACTTTTATTAATTCATTGAAATAATGTAATGTCTTATTATCGAAGTTAATGTTCTGTTTGGGTTGAGGAGGTTTATACCACCTAAATCGTAAAATATTTCTACGATATAATTTATTCTTACAACAAAATTTAGCACAAACTTAATACTATTCAAAATAGCTCAAAAAAAATTTATAAATGTTTATATTTCTGGTTTCATTTTGTAAAACATAAATAAAATAATCTTTTAAATATTTATAAGTAATTTAAATTATATATTTTACAATTTTTCACTCAAATGAAATATTTCATGAGAGTTAAAAAAAAAATTAATTTTATAAAATTTTAGAACTCTAAATAATCACAAATATTTATTAATATCACTAAAATTTACTCACTATTTAAATACTTTTTTGTAAAATTATTCAATGCTTCTGTAAATACTGAAAAATTTTAAAAGTATTGTATTATCCAGCATCTCAAAAAAACTAATTATTAGTTAAAGGCTATTCATTGAAAATATATTATCTTTTATGAAATTGACATACTTAACTGAATATGTTTTTATCCCTTAAGCTATTTAAATGTACATTGAATATTTTAGTATAGTTGGCAAAAAAAATTTCTTACCGATGATAAAAGCAAATATTATAATTTTGCTTTTGATTGACATCTTAAACTAAATACTAAAAATTATAAATATTTAATATTATGTAATAATTAACTCGTGAATATTTCATTAAAATTATTCTATACTAAATACTTATAATGTTATTTACCCGAAAGAAAACTCAGTAAAAAGACTTATTTGTATGACATGCAAAAATAATGACAATAATGCTAAAGAATAAATTTAAAAATGTATACTATGTTTTAAAAAAGAACCACATAAAACAGTATTTATTATAAAACATGTTCAGAGAAACTCAAAAAAGAAAGTACTTGTATGACTAATATCCAAAATATTCTATTTAAACAGTATACATGAAATATAATCATTAAACAAGTTTATTAGTATATCTCCATAAGTTTATCTTCATAACAGCTGAACAAAGTCTTAAAATTTATATAACTTAAAGCTTGTATAATATCATTTTAATGAACGCAGGTTTTTAATTCAGGAGTTTAGTTTAACTTCAATTCGTAGCTGAAAAGTTATTGATTTTATTAAGATGCGTTCATTATTTTATTTCTATTTTTCGTATCTATTACTGCTTTTTCACAATTCTCACTGGACCGATTTTTTTCAACTTTATAAATCGTATGTTAGGATACGATTTGTAATCATTTGAATATGTTCAGTAGCTACAAAACACATTACCTTCAAAAATTGAAAAAATCTCTTGTTCACTGGTAATGGGAGATATCCTTAAAATAAAAATTTTTTTATTGGTTTTATCAGCCCATTAAGGACCATAGCGGCCTCTTCCTAAAGGTGGAAGTTTTCTTAACCATTTATACTCCGGTACGGGTTGTTAGTCCGTCATCGGAAAGAGAAAATGGCGACTTTAATTACCGAATTGATCTCTCTTTCGGCAAATGAAGCCGCCCGTGACTGAGTTTCGAACCCGAGATAGTGCGCGTTACCGACTCAGCCACACCGTTCTCCTCAAACAAATTACGATTTTAAAATCAGTAAATTTACACTTTTTTTTCTTAAATCAGTCATTAAAACTTTTTAAAAATCCAACACTTTACCTGCTCAAGGAGGAGGTTATATACCTCATATGAATAACATAGGAACGTAGACTAAAAAGTGGAGGTAATTAGAAATAAGAAATACTATTGATTAACATCAATTTAAGTATTTCATTACAAATGAATATGACTTAAAATAAATATCAATTTGAATATTAGCTATTTAATTATGTAGTTTAAATCTTTATTTGCTGTATTTATGTTATTATAATAAGTGTCTGCTATCCTATTCTGCTAGGTACTCAATACACCACTGTTCAATATCCCCAATCATATGTCCTTATTTCCTTATATTCAAAGCTGCTTTAGAGAGTATTGTTTATTAGGAGTTACTAAACCCAACCAAACTTAATGTTTAATCAACTAAAAAATTTAATTTTGAAATTATATTTTAATTTTTTTAATCGCTTTATACGATCCATTGAGTATGATTGTGGCCTCCTCTAAGAGGAAATTTCTTAAACCTGTATACTCCGAGATAGATGGTTAATCCGTCACCAGGAGGGATGGCAAGTCCAATCACTAAACTGATAATTCGTTCAGCAAAAAGAAGTCACCTGTAACCTAGTCTTGAACCAGAGACAGTGCGTATTAGGCACTGATGCGTTATCGACTCGACCACACTGTCCCTCATAATTTAATTATAATATATAAATATATATAATTGTAATGTATAATATATAAAAAAATAGCCTTTTCCAATTTTACATTAGAATTAAAACGTACCATGTACAAAATTCCTCCAACATCTCGTAAATTATTAAAACGTCGCTTTAGTCGCTAAAGCAAAAAAAAAGAAATGATATCTCTACAATAATATAATTATAAATAAGGGCCAAGTTCTAGAAACCCCTATCTAAAAAAAAGTATACCCATCAAAGTAATGATATCTACATTGTAGCCAAGTCTGTTATTTCTTCTGCCTTTAATATGTATCGCTTAATATTTAACGAATTTGTGTTCAAATACTCATGGAAGATTTTCTTTCGGGATTTATTGGATATTGCGGCTAAGTATATTTTAGCCCTCAAGTATCATACCATTTATACCATATAGTATCATCTTAAGTGTATATACAGTGAATAAAACATATAAACATGTTTTACAAGGGACAACTTTTTTTGATCTGTATCGATGTCAGATTACCAAAACTTTTGCCAAATTATCGATGAGAAAATTATCTGTAATATATCACAGATATATCACTTTTTGACTACTTGAGGGCTAAAATATACTTAGCCGCAATATCCAATAAATCCCGAAAGAAAATCTTCCATGAGTATTTGAACACAAATTCGTTAAATATTAAGCGATACATATTAAAGGCAGCGTTACTCATTAATAAAACAACAGATTTGGTCACAATATATATATATCACTATTTTGATAGCCATATTATTATTTTTTTAGTGAAGCATATTATAGAATGTTTTTTACATTTTTTTTTTTATGGGAATAATTTATTACAACAAATATATTATCATGTGTCTTTGTTGTTGATGCGATAAGTATTTGCAGAGTAAATTCATACTTACTTGCTAAAGAAATTTTCAACTAAAAAATTAAAGTATTTCTATAGTATAAAATATTTATATCTATTAAGTGCAACAATTCTGAAATTCCAAATAGTAACTAACTATTGGGATTGACTATATGTAGAATTAAAATGAGATTTTATTATTTTAATTTTTTCAACAATTTAATTCATGATAATAAGATGTAAAAATCCTTGTATTATGGAGTTTATTATACTCATCAAATGTGTACTGATTAATTATTTAATAGAGCAACGTATTCTTTTATATTAAGTTTATTTCAAAATGTATGATTCTTATTTCTGGAATTGTAGTGTTTACTTATCGAAATAGGTAGTTATGTTTTACCTCTAAGCTGATTTTTGATTATTCTAGATTACACAAATGAAGAATTTACATTTAACATTATTGACTGTATTATATTAGTTTGTCATTCTGTAAGATGATCTACTTGGTTTCTTGAACGTTTAAGTTCACTGATTTTCTTGTGAATATATTCAACAACAGTGTCATCATATACGCCAAAACCGTCCAATGATGTTTACTAATCCTCTTCTAGACCGTGAACGCGGTATTATAATTTCTATGTTACTATCGAATTCATTTAAGTATCTAGAAGCATTTTGTGTAAATAGAATACAAATATGTTTAGTGGAATTAGAGTTGAGCAAAAGACTTTCTATTCGATCAACTGTACCTAAAATTTCTTTACAAGATAGTTAGTTATATTTACATAAGTCGACAGGTGCATCCATCTCACTTAAGATTTTTATTTTTACCTTTCATTTATGTATTAAGACACACATAATAAATTAACTTTTAACTGAACGACTTTTTTTTTATTTAATCGGACGACCGCTAAATACAAATGTAATGACATTGAACAATAAAATAATTTTACATACAATGAGACGATATACTCCAAGCAAGTCAATCCACGGATTTGACGATTACATGGGATACAGCTTCCAGCTTGAACGGATTAAGTTATGCGTTCTTGTAAAGATGTTTTATGAGATAACTGTTTTTAGCAATTGACAGTTGAAATATTCGCAACGGAATGGCGATGGACCGGAGAACAACACAAAAAATTAACCACCGTTCTATCACTGGCCACAAATCAGCAAAAATTCCACGGCACGACTCATCGATCGTACACAAAACGCGTGTACTAAAAAACACGTCAGCTCACAGGCCAACGAGTTAGGAAACTCAACGATATAACTTAACTACACATTCACGTTCGTACTGACTTAGGTGCCGATGGTGCCGGACACGACGACTATGAGTGTCATAGGCCAAGCTAAGAGAGGGGGGGAGTGATTATAAGCTATGTGGAGCTTGACTGGCCTACACACGTAACTTTTGAAAAGCATAAATTCACGTTCGACACAAATTTTACAAAATTTATGTCCACAACCCACTAAAGCTGTATTTTGCTCGCGTTCTTCGCAATGCTGACATCTTAAATAAAATTAATTTTTCAAGAAAGTAATTGTTTGATATTGAGTAAAACAAGATCTACATTATTATAGAATAAACCGGACGTCGAATGGCAACTTAAAGTTTTATTCATATGTAAAATGTGCAAGTTATTTATCGTAAAACTACAATCCACATTATTAACTAAAATATAGTGTTTTAATTTAATTTAAAATAAGCTACCGACTAAATAGTTCATCGGCCACGGATGTGCAGTTGAATAAATTGTGCAAAATTCGTAAATTTTACCGTATCGTCAGGCAGAAAACTATACTAAATAGTGCTCGAGGTGTTTTGTAGTGTAGAGTTTCACTACTTATAAAAATCGTAGACCTAATCAGGACAATTAAAACGTAGTCCGATTGGTCAAAATTATTGTTCGAAAAATTTAAGTGTTTTAATACAACAGTTGCGGTATACATTTTAAAATGTGTCGTTTTAGAAGGAATTGGGAAGACAGCATTATCGCTTAGGAGCTATTTTTACGAGTTCCTAAGTATTTGCTTCCTTAAAAATAAAATTAGAAAAAAAATAGAAATAACTTTAGTTGAGTCAGCTAAGTTGTCAAAGGAATTTGGAGTAAAAATAAAATTTTCAATATTACACATATATTGTTTGACATAGGCGAAATCTTCCAGCTGAAAACGGGTTTTTTTCGGTGAGTATAATAAACAATCGTAACGATAGTCAATTAGGTGTAACAACGCGGACGGACCCGGAAACTTTGCCGCGGACCTTTGGCCGACGGATTGTTCGGCCATTGTACGCCGTTATTTTCATTTTTTATTTGTTGAACCCTTGTGCTCAAAGTTCTCTTGCCCTTGTACGCCTCTAGTGATTGGACCCTGACCATCACGAAATAACTTCATTTCCGCAGTCACTTTTCCGTTATGTGCCTGGATCTACACTCTGTCTCGTGATACTCAGATGTTCAACACCATTACCACAAGATTTCATACAGTTCACTCTCCACTATCAACAACTTCATTTATTCAGCTGAGTTTTATATTATTTTTTAACGTTATTAGCTTCGATGCGAAGCTGAGAAGGTATTGGTTTTACTATGATGTGTTTTTTTTTTTTTTTTTTTTTTTTTTTTTTTTTT